CACAAGCCAACAAATCGAGGCTGGGGTATCCCACGCACACATGGCCTTTCCTTCACAGAGGAGACATGGCCAGAACTCAGGGCAGCCGAGACGAAGGAGCCACTGGGAAGATGCTGCTGTCTCCAGGCTCACTCCTGGAGTTGAAGCTCCAACTCCCACTCCCTGCAGACCTACCCAGAGCAGGACCTAGCTGTGGCTGCTGCTACACCGCAGCTCTTTGAGCACTGAGGATGTGAGCGTGGCATCAGCACGGTGTGAGCACCTTGGGTGTGCACAGGGACAGCTGGATGATGCAAAATGACTGCCAAGATGTCACCCTCAAGGCAAGAAAAGCCCAACAGACCTTTAACCATCCTACTGCCATTAAGCTCAATAGACGTGAATGTCCGCCTGTGTAAGCTTTGCCGCAGGTATCCAGCCGTGACCACAGCCTGCAACCTCAGCTGCACTTCTTCATTCAAGAAAGTAGCCAGTGGAGCTTTTGGCATAGGCAGCACAGTCCTGGGAGAAGGTTCCTGTGGTAGCCAAGAGCCTGAGGAGGGGTCCCTGTGCACGCACTGCACGTAGGCTGCTGCCACTGAGCTGTTCCCCTGGGACACCTGGACAAAAGTTCCTTTTCTCCATGCACTGTCTCTGGCACCAACAGTGCTGCTACCAGATGCTTTTGGAAACAGCAAATGAAGGGGCAATACTACTGTGTATAGCTATTCACTGTCAACTAGCCTGTATAGGACTCCTGCCTTTCTTAGCCTTTGTTCAATGATCTCCTCGCCCTGTATTTGTGAATTTCTATTTCCTCTGCATTTTGCTTTTAGCAGTATAACATAGTTGGGCTTCACCTCCTGAGCATGGCACTCAGAGTGACTCAGAAACCTGCAATCTGCTTCAAAACAAAGCATTTAAAATAAAAGATATAGGCAGTAATGGAGCTACTCAGCTCAGGAGCAGAAATGCTAGAGGGTTCCTCATGTACTCACAAACCTTCTAACCTTCCCTCAGCTTTTTTTAACCCCTGCAAACCCAGGGCAAGGCAGGCTGCAAGTAAGAGCTGGTGTGTCATTTCAGATATGCTTCCACTCCAGTGTGCAAAGCCTGGAGCTGGGAAATGGAAGAGCTCTGATGCCAGCACCGATGACATGGAAGGGGGAGCCAAGCTCTCACTCCACGGCCTCCAAAGTGCTCTTATTTCTGCTGGTTAAACAGATGCCAGCTTCTGAGGGGATTATGTGTCATAGAGCCTGTTGGCTGTGACAAATAATTATCTTTCACAACAGTTTGGCCTTGAGATTTTCAGCTCAAAGGGCATACCAGCAGTGCTGCCATCCAGCACCATGTGTGGCAATTTGTCCCCATTTGGGTTTCCCTGTTGCTAAAGAGGTGGCACCCCCAAAGTACACCGTCCTCCCCCAGCTCAGGCTCACACCAGCAGGTCCTTCCTTCCAAGCAGCACGGGCAGGGAGCATCAGCACTCCAGTGAAACCTCAGAGATGCTTCCAGCAGGATCCCAGGAGAACAAGCAGAGCTAAAATCAGCTCAGCATCCAAACAGCAGCCTGGCTGATCCTCCCATTCCCACAGCTGGCTGTTAGTGTGGCAGCCATGCCATGGCACACTCCTCCAGCTGAGCTTCACAGGCTGCACACACCAACAGGGTCCAGCTCAGCTGCAGCCAAGTGCAGGGGAAAAAATATCTGCCACAGCCCGAGTCTCTTTCTAGGGCAGAGCAGCCAAAGATTTAAACAGTTTTGGAATGCAGCCTCAAAACCATCACTGAAAATGTTTTGGGACTTCATATAAATTGATGGCTGACCCCCATCGAGACTCCCAGGAACAGATGAAAAGCAGACCCAGACAACTGAAAGAATTTAAGTCATTGAGAAACACACAGAGTGCTGGGAAAGACTGGAGATGAGGAAAGAGATGAAGAGAGGAGTTAACAGTAAAGGCAAAGTGTGTATTGGCAAGCAGGTACTGGAGCTGGGGTGCCCAGCAGCCAGGCTGGAGGCACTGGTGTGGGATTGACATCAAGGTTCTAAACTTGCAGAGCTCAGCTCACCTGCAGCCAGAAAAGGTTGAGTACTGGGGGTACTGAGTACTCTTCTGCCAAGCACCAGTTAAGCCCTGGGAAGCAGGTGCTAGAGGGCCCTCAGCCAAGGTTCCTATGGAGATATCCCAGCTGGGATCACAAACTGGATGTTGTCAGGTAGGAGAGGGTAGATGGGATGGATCCTGCTTGGCTCTCCCCTCTCTCTATCATCTCACGATCATCTTGCCCTCTCAAGAGGCTGGCAAGCTGTACCAGCTTCCCCAAACCCCTGATCCCCCAGAGAACTCAGCTGGAGCCAGACACGAGGCTGCATCACAAGGGAAGGGAGGCAAGACCTTCCAAGCTTCAGAGCCAGGTTGAATGCAGGACCAAATCAAACCTGGAGCTGACTTGCTGTCAGGCAGCCCAGGGGAATGCTGTGTGGGAGAGCCATGGACTGGGCATGCTGTAGTGAGTGAGAATGCCCTGAAATCCCAGCACACAGCCCAGGGTTTAGGTGATGCTGCCATTCACCAGCAAATCGTGGCAGGTTGAAAGCAGCAATTACAGTAATGAGCTTCTCCATCACTGCGCTGCTGAAGACCTGAGTCCTTTGGCCAGTTTGCAGTAAATTTCATTTGCTGCACTCCCAGGACAAAAGGAGGATCTCAAAAGCAAGAATAATTAATGGAGGATGTTAAATTGAAGAGAGTTTGGTCATCAGAAAATGCAGAAAATTAAGAAGGAGGAAGTGATAAAGGATTTCAGGATACTGCCAAGAGCTGCAAGAGGAAAAGAAAATCCCCCCTCTTACACCTCAGCTTTTTAATATCACCTTGAAGTTCCTGAGGACAGAGGAGAGCCTGAGTCTCTGAATACCAGCACTGCAGAGCTGCCTCAGTCTGCAGGGCCCTGTGAAGAGATGCAGCTGTCTCTTAAATAACAGCAGTTGACACCAGTTGTGAATAGATGAGTGATCGTGGCTTCAGCCGTCACAGCCCAGGATCTGATTTCAAATGAAGCCCCATTCATCCATCCAGTGCCCATCACAGGGTTATTAAAGGAGTATCTGTCACAAACCACAATGCCTTTAAATGCTTGAAAAAGGGCACAACAAAAATAAGCCTGCTTAGCTTATATACTTTCCTCTGGATAACGTGATTCTTGGAATTGTTTAGCAAAAATAAATTATAAATATGACGGGTAGGGAAAATACATGATATGAGCAGGGTGAGGTTTGTATTTGACCTTAGTGTAGAGTTTGGCTGTCTGTTTGTTGTTCCAGGCTTGGGGGTTAGGCATGAGAGACAGTGGCAGGGAGTTTTGTTGGGTAGCAGAGTGCACAGCCCCAGCTCTCCAGGTGTCCTGCTCCAGAGCCCAGGCTCAGTGCACTCCCTCCAGGACACAAAAGGAAAGCCATTCCTGGTTTGGATGCAGCAGGGATAGCATCTCCAGCAGCAGGTCAGGGCCAAGTTCAGGCCAAATGGGATGTGCTATGGCAAGGCAAATGAGGAGTGTTGGTTTGGTTACTCATTAGGACTAAATCCATGTTCTGTGTTTAAAAAAAATTGCTTTTAGCTAAACTGAAAGTCAAGCATAGACATCATGTCTGTCTTGAGTGAATGGTTCCAGCTCATACCATCTCACACTCACCAGCAAACTCTTACATGAGACAAAAGTCTTTTTCTTCTCTGCAACTGTGCAGCTCCTCTTACTGCTTTTTATTCTCTGCCTGTTGCACTGGGCAAAACTGCCATCTTCTGGCACCTGAATAGGTACCCTCCTGTCCTGCCACCAGCAGGTCACCTCCTGCCCCAGTGCCTCTCTGGGTGACGTGCAGGCACAGGGATCAAAGGAAAAGATCACTGTTCATGCACAGACATGCTCTATTATATTCACTGTATATTGAAAGCATCTCAGAGCATTAGATTGATGCTCTTGGGGCCAGAGGTGGACATTTATGCCCTGTAATGCACATCAAACCCCTTTTAAGAGAAACTGGAGTGTCTGCATGCAGGCTTAATGGTGGTGAGAAAGACTGTGCTGTGTGATGCAGGTCTGTGTTTATAATTCATATTAAATGGTAATACAGATTCCTCTTTTCTTTATAAATTGTTTTTAAAATTGTCTTAAATGTGGATGGAAAACTGGATTGTGGTCATATGTGCAAAGATATTGGGTTCCTCTGCATAAACATTTCATGCCAAAAGACAGGACTTCCTACCCCAAGTTTCAGCCTAGGGAGGCATTGCCTGTGTTCATAGATTTTAAGCCTAAAGCAGAATAAAGTTACATGTTTTAAACTGTCCAAGCATTTTAGAAAGCTACATCTCCTCTCTGTTCCCCCAAATCCCCAATTTGTCACCATTTAAGTGGAGTCCTGGATTCTTTCCAAGAGGTGCATCTCGTGCAGCCCCAGCCCTATGCTGGGTTTCAGACTGAAGCAGTGACTCACCTGTGCAGATTCATCTCCCTTCATTTGAGCTGACTGAAAGCAAGGCATGGCATGTCCCTCCCTCCCTTCCCAGCACAGAAGGCAGGTCCAAAGGGGACTCGACCTGTATGTTCTGGGAACAAGACCTGTATGCTGGAGCTCTTATCTGAATAAACCCTGGCAGAAACAGGTTTTGTGTACAGATCCAGCACAATGGACTGATTTGGACCCTTGTTCCTCGGGGAATAAAAATAGCAAGTTAATATTAAAACTGTGTATTTTCACAGATTGCAGGCGGGACTCACAACACACCATGCTTAATTTCCTGCTTTCAGTTCCCTATCAGATTTTATGCTTAGCTTACTGAGGTTTGTTTTTCCCCAGAATAGGATATTTTTTCCTTTAGCTACAATACATTCAGCCATGAAAAATTAGATTGAAAAAGATTAATAGGAAGCTGAAGGATTCATCTGAGATTGACAAAGATTAATGTGTGTCTTATTCTTAGCTGTTTTCTTTTTCTTTTCCCTTCTCCTCTTAGCTACCTAGACAGCTTAGATCGAATTGGAGCTGCAGACTACCAGCCCACGGAGCAGGATATCCTCCGAACCAGGGTCAAAACAACTGGCATCGTAGAAACCCATTTCACATTCAAAAACCTCCACTTCAGGTTAGTCTAAAACTGTACAGTAAATTTGCAGAACAAATATTTATCACAGGGCTTCCCCATAGTTCCTAAAGGAGAACTTGCTGGTTAATGCATGGGCAGCTCCCACTGCAGAAGACACAGCATTTTGGATGGTCAACAAAATGAAAAGTTTGGCAATCCTGTCTTGAAAGTCACTGCCTGTTATGATAGAACATGGCAGCTTCTTCTAACCCAAACAATACCTCTTTGTTGGAATGTATAATACAAGACTGATCCCCAAATGTGATCAAACCTCATAAATGTAAAAATATTTGGCCAGATCTTTTCTCTTAAGTGGGTCAGTGACATGTAGTTAACACGATACATTGACCCTCATGATGCCATCCAGTAGAGAGAAGAGGGCACAACGACAGAAAGCCACACACAAACAGTATTTAGAGCATATGAAAGTCAAGAGTGTGTGTTCTCCACCTCTACTGATCCTTTGGGACCCAGCTCTCTGCTAAGGCTCTCCCACGGATCCCCACATCCCTGTCTGTAACTGCTCCTCCTGGCTCTCCTCAGCTGCAGGCGCTGGAGGAGATGACCAAGCTAGCAGTGAAAGACCCACTGCTTTGTGCTTGGATCCTCCCAGGACCCACATGGTCAGAGAATGCCCAGAATGCTCAAGTTCCCTGGTAGCTGGGGAGGAGTGGGTGGTGATGGTGCTCCCCTGTGCCGCAGGCTCTTCGATGTCGGGGGCCAGCGGTCAGAGCGCAAGAAGTGGATCCACTGCTTTGAGGATGTCACAGCGATCATCTTCTGTGTCGCGCTGAGTGGCTACGACCAGGTGCTCCATGAAGACGAAACCACGGTGAGTCTAAGTGGGTCTTGGAGGCCCCAACAGCTCTGTGTGGGATACTGCATAGCCAGCAACTCCTCAGAGATCACGGAATGCTCCCTGGGGTGCTACAGCAATGTGCTTTTGTCCATTGCTCCCCCTTGGCTCTGAAATCCTGGGGAGAGCTCTCCTTCTCCATGTTCTTTGATATGAAGTCTGCATACCCAGGTAATGCTTCCTTACACTGGTAAAGGCAAAGTGTTTGCTTCTCCTTTCTAGCCAACCTGTGTTCTCAAAATGCATAACAAGAACCTATAACCAGCAAGAGGATACAGCTGGGTGTCCTTTAAAACAGGGAAGCAGTCAGGCCATGGTGCAGAGGTGCAGGACAGCAGTGCACGCCCAGGGCTCAGCCCAGGAATATAACCTATTTAGGCTACAGAAATTCGTTTTCTTTAGTGAGAATGAAACTGTTTAAGTCTTCAGGTAATTTGCTCTAGGAGAGATTTATGACTTCCCACTGTGACGTTAGGCTCAAAATACCATCTGGAAGTAAAACTGGTGAGGACCTGTGTGCTCCCTGGTATTAGAATGCAATTAATACAAGTTACTTGAATACACAAAAAAGGATGCAGTAAGACTCATTACTGTATTCTGATCATTCATTCAGTATGATGGGGATGCATGTTTTTGGGACTAAGGACAGCTGCTGTGGGCACCCAGTTACATTTGTCTAATGAAAAGGAATTGGAGGCTATACTCAGTAATGATTTCATCGGTGCCCAATCTGCAGCAGCAGCATGGAGTGCTTGCTCCTGCCAGCTCTGTCTTTCTGAGGCTTTTTATTCTCCTGCTGGTAAAGATGTCAGGCTTGCGGAAAGCTGTGGATGAATTCGATGGAAATACTGCTGTTAGGTGACATTTTTCTTGTCCCAAAAAGACTGGGGGGGCTGTGGTTTCTAGCCTCTGAGCCAGGTTTATGAGCTCTAGCAAACTCTTTGATGAAATCACCTGGTTGTTTGAATCATATCGATGCCAGAATTCTGGATGATATTAACCTTACCAGTCACAGGACTGGTAACAGCATGAAGCATGTGTCAAAGAGAAGTTCAGGCTGGAAATTAGGAAAAGGCTCTTCACCCAGAGTGTGGTCAGGCACTGGAACAGGCTCACCAGGGAAGTGGTCACAGCACCAAGCCTGACAGAGTTCAAGAAGCATTTTGACAATGCTCTCAGGCACATGGTGTGACTCTTGGGGTTGTTCTGTGCAGGACCAGGAGTTGGACTGGATGGTCCATGTGATTCTGTGATCATGACTGCGTCTTCCTCCAGACTGACTGAGACACTCTACATCCTGTCATGTCCACTTATTTATAATCCCCAGTTGTCTCCTCCCTCTGACCCTGGCCCTGATATGTTCAAGGATGCTCAGCCCTGTAGGATTTACTGGGAAGGAACCAAAATCTCCTGACATGATTTGAAAAATCCAGCCATTAGCTCAACACTGTAGAGCTCTGCAGCTGGGCAGCAAAATCAGCCAGGAGACACAAAAGAGCACAGAGGGAGAGGGCAGGTCCAGGAGCAGGGAGCAAAGCTGTGATATGAGTAGAGAGCAAGGTGCTCTGTAAGTACAGCTTGGATTGTGACACCCAAATTGTGAAGCCAAAGGCAGCTTTTAATACAGGTCACCTTTGGGTGCCCATCCACACAAGTCAGAGCCTGTGATTCAAAGCCATGGAGCACAAAATGGAATGGCCTGAATGCCAATGCCATTTGTTAAATGTCAGCCTTTACTCTGCTCCTCTGAACTGGAGGTTGGAGCATCTCTCCTGGGGAGAGCCCTGCCAGTGATTGTCCCTCACCCAGCACCACCCCGGAGCCAGCTCAGCCTGCCCCCTGAAGTGCCGCGCTGCAGAAACTGGGATTTATGCATCTCCAACTTTCCCATTGCAGCAGGAGAGCAGCCTGGTGCAGCTCTGGCACAGCACTGACATTTGCTTGCTATTTCAGTCCCTGTTCACAACACATTTTGGGGGATGCTGAGCAACAGGAGGGCAGAGGCAGCTGCTGCTCATTTACACATTCGGCGTAAACGGGGAAAGCATTCAGCATCACCACCACGCCGGCAGGACGCCCCTGCCTAACCCAAATAAACAGCCCTGAGCAAGGCCAGTGCACTCAGGAAAAAACAGTGGTGTTGGATCTTGCCTGCCCTATTATATCCCCATCACAAATGGCAGGTGGAAAACGTGGCACCCACAGACCCTGGCCCCTCCCAGGTGAACCCCCAAGCGTTTGCCCCCTCCTTGGTAATGTGGTGCCTCCCCAAAAACCCAGCAGTAAAACAGCATCTCCTCAGTCAGCTGATTTGCTGTCTGCATCCGTCACATCTGCTGCCTGTCGTGACGTAAATCAGCTTTTATTGCTTCTCACTTGGAAAACACAAAGAGGAGGCAGCTGAGAAAGTGAGCTGGATGCTGCTCCTCCAGCTTCATTTTTTAGAGACACTTACTACAGTCCAGGCACTTGCAGCTATGTTGAGCCACTGAAGGTTTGGGGGCTGTACAGATGTCTACATGAGTATGAAAGAACTTGCAGAGAGCTTTCATTGCTGGCATGGAGCCATGAGAGGGAATGAACCCAACTGCATATCAGGGTCCAAAAAACCCCTTCCAAAGCTGAGTGCATGTAGAGAATGGGTTTTTCTCTTGCACTCAGCACCCTGTTGTCAATGAGCACAGGATTTCACAGGTGCTTTTTGCATTTCTCTAAGTCAAGCCACACTTCAGGTGGAGGAAACTGCAGTTCAGATGCAGTCAGCATCACATGGACCAGGGACAGGCTCACCTTGGTAAGGTTCAAGTGGGACAAGTGTAGGGTCAGCTTGTGTCACTGGAAAAAGCTCACAAACAGGTTTATTGTGAATCCTTTCCACAGAGCTGGTTAAATAAGGCTGGGTGAAGCACTCTCTGACCTGTCCCTGCCCTTAAAATTCAAACACAGCTCTATGCTTGTAAAGTTGTTTTGTGGGTTATTGTGCTCTTTGTTTTAAAAGGCTGAGCACCCATCCTCCAGCAGCAGCTAAAACAAGACCGTTGTGTTTAAAGCTGTCCCTGCTTCTTAAGGGCAGGCAATCTTTTATAAGGGATGTATTTTCTCTCTAATTCCCTGTCACAAAGAGCCACACAGTAGGAGTTGAGCAAAGCAAGTACTCTCCTATGTCCAGATCAGAAAGGCATAAAGAAAATAAAGAAAACTTTCTGCATCTGTGATTTTTAGGCCCATACACCCGTAAAGATCACACTTTTCACAGAAACTCCCAGTACTGCTGAATCCAACTTCTCCCTTTGCTTCCAACACCTTATGCTGCTGTTGGCAAATCTAAACTGTGTCCCTGTGTGCCCAGCTTCCAGGGGAGAGGAACAAGGCATGAGAGAGATTCAAACAATGCCTTCATCAGTCCCATTGCTGCCAGCCACAGCCCAAGCCAGAGCTCATGTGGCAAAAGGGTACCCTCTGCCCAGCCCATCCAACACACAAGGCACTGCCCTCAAGGGTGCACACCTGCCTGTGCCTTTACCAAGTCCTTCACAAGGACCTGCCAGGCTCTCTGCCATATTTGTACACAGTGGGAACATCCTGCTTTAACTGGCAGAACACCTCCCTGGATTATGTCTTTGCATAAAAAGGCTGTTTCCTCTCATTTGTGACTGATCTTTTTGTTTCATAAGTTGAAGTTACAGAGGGAAAAGCCTCAGCTCTGTAATCTGGGAAGAGAGAGGGACAGTCATATCACTCAGTAAAACTAGAGGAGATGATTCACAAAGGTGGATTTCCATTGTTCTTTCTAAATGGAATTCTTAATGGAATTTTTTTTTTAAAAACAGCAATGGAATGGGACTGCCATGGGAACTGAGACTATCCTCTGTTTTTTCACCTTGCAAATTCAAAGGAGTCATGGCAAGAGAGGGAGATGTTGATGCTGCACATTGCTGCCTCTGAAGCTAAGATATTTAGGTCAATCATTTCTAGGCAAGACATGCAAGTATTGTTTGTGTCCCTGTTGGTGAGGATGGGATGGGTGGAAGGCTCTGTGCTGGTAACCCTTGGTGCATTAGTGTTGGCCTGTTGGTTTGTATCACACTGCTTGACCTGGTTAGCATGCTCTCTCTGCTGTCATTGGGCAAGGAAAATAGAATTGCAGTGCTCAGAAATTGCCTTAGGAGTGACAAAGCAAGCTAAAGTGGCTTGGACATCTTAGGAAATATAAGCAGGAGGGGGAATATGGAGTTGCTGTGCTTAGGATAACCATCAGTGTCCTTACAGTTCATGTGACACCTAGCACTTAATCACCAAGAAAAACAGAAAATATTGAAAAAACTGGGTGTTGCAGAAAACACCGGGTCTCCTCCCATACTCTGGTAACAAAAAAAAAAAGTTTTTATAAGTGTGTTTCTGCCTGGACAGAGTGTTGACCGCAGCATCCTTTCTCCCTCATGCTGAGTGAAAAGCTGTTTGCTCTTCACATCAGTGACAGTATGCCATGACATCTGAACTCAGCTATAAGCAATTCTCTCTCTTGTCCTGTGCAGGAAAAGTTAACTGGACTTCGAATATGCATGGGCATGTTACTCCTGTGTAACATGTTTGTTGGAGCTACTTTTCTTGTTGGGGTATGAAATATTTGCCAGTGTAAGGATTTAAAATACCAGTTTTGAAATAGGAAGTGACATTAAGAAATTAATGTCTGAAGAGCTCTTCCCTTAATAAGAGACCCAACATAAAGTGAGAAATGGCAGCATGATGGGTCCAAAAGCAGGTGAAATAATTTGTGTCACTTCGTCTAAAAGTATGAGGAGCATAATCTTTAGTGCATCCCAGCAGAATAGGCACATCTGGTCCATCACAGGAGAAAGGGGCCCCAGCCAAGTTCTAAGGGACTAAACTGATCTTCCACTGTGGATTTACTGGGAGGAGGGGGATTATATGGGGGATTTAACTTCTTATTCCTCCTTTAGCAGCAGTCTGTCCTTTTACATGTGGTACCCAGACACTGCTTCCTCATCCTTGTCTCTGCACCTGGGTCTGCCTGAGCTGTTGCAGGGCTCCTACAAACATCTATTGAACTAGTAACAGTTGGGGAGGGAAAGGAAAGGGAGATAGTGAGGATTCCTGGTGCTAGCCAGCACCAGGACAGCTTGTGCCCATACATGGGCTCCCAGAAGTCCTCCTGGGATGCAACAGTATTTCCCATATGGCATCCAGGTATGACAACAGAAGCATCCATGCCTGCACACCAGAATATTGCTCTGCACCTTTGCCACACACAGAAAGGAATTTATGGCTTTTGAATATCGTCATCTTCTGGGTTTGGAATAATGTCATCTTCTCTTTAGTAGTGGGGAAGGAAAAGGTGGATTTTAAGACCAGAACATTTCCCACATAAATAAGGATGAGTGGGCAGAGTAGTTCATTATGTTTACTTGTCTGAATGGCAAAGCTGGAGGTAAAATCAACGTGTAGAGATCAGAAAGCCAGGTCAGACAGCCTTAGGAAGCTTTGAACCTTGTTTCTGGAATCTGAAAGGAACAGAGGTCATTCAGTGTAACCCTCATGTTGTAGTGGGATGTATTGGTTTGTGCTGTGTGTATATGATTCCGTGATTCCGTATTCTGGTTACCACTGAACACTAACAGTCACTGTTTGTTGGGAAAACAGTCTCATCTGCTAACATACACTAATGCAAATTTGTCAAATGGGATCAGAGAAGTAGGAGGACTTCTGCAGGATCCTTACCTAGTCTTACAACTGTAGAAAAGTTGGCTTCACCTAACCATGAAGCCCAGCTCAGAAGTCCTCAGCTTCTGTTTCTTAGACAAATTCGTTGTCGCCCGTGGTGCTCCCCATGCCATGAAGAGCAGTTTCACCCTTCTGCTCTCCACCAGGGCTGTGCAGTGTGTTGCCATGGCACAAGGCTGCCCAGGTGGCTGATGGCTGCTGCAGATGAGCTGTGGGTTTAGCCCACAAGCAGCATTCCTGTGTTTCTCCACGCTTTTAGTTTAAATCAGCAAGGATTATAAAAATGTCATTTAAAATGTTCTGTGAGGGACCCTCCTTTAAAAAATGGTTAATTGTATTCGCTTTCTGTTCCCCTGACCACGTTCCACTTCATTCTCTCCTCCCAAAGGCTTTGAGTATCCAAGGATCTCCTGCACAAAACCTTTGTACACCAGGTTTCTATGTGGTTACAATTTTGGCACCACAAGTAGCAAAGGGGAACATTGCTCCAGGGGCTCCCTCAATAGCCAGTACCAAATGGGTTAGCAAAAACCAGCCCACAGGCACAGGATGATCCAGATAAACAACGTGTTACAACAGAGACCCAATGAGCAAATGCATTGTTTGTATGTGATCGCGTCGTCCCTGTGTGTCGATACAAATGGTGGGGAAATGAGTGGTCATTCAAGGGAGGGCACAGCAAATCACATGTGTCCTGTTTCACTTTGGGCTGGATCAGATGCTTATTTCATCCATGGAGCTTCTTCTGTCTATATAAAACGTTCAGTAGACACTAAAGCATATCAATGAAAAGGAATGTGTTAATCAGTGAAGTGCTGGGCTCAACTTTATGCCAGCACAGGTGTGAAATGGAGTGGGAGAGGGGTGAAGGCCCCCAGCTGACTCATGTACCACTCCACATTCCCAAATCCAGGGCTGGGGGGAACAGGACATGCTGCCCCCACCCCAAAAACCCCCCAGTAACAAGCCCGTGCAGCCCTGTTCTCTCCAGTGTCTCTGTGGCGATGGCTGTAACTGGTTTCTTATGCGCACTGGTGGGTTTGGGGAGAGCAGTCCTAAGGAGATCCCGCTGGAAAAGCCGAGGAGCCGGTCTGGTCTGTACCATGCTTTGCCTTTGATAACCCCCTGACTCTTGGGTGTGCTTCATCCTCACCGCGCCTGCTCTCTGCGCTACCCGGCTCCCGGCTGAGAGATGGCCACGCGACCGGCGTGTGCGCTCCGGCGTCGGCCTCGGCGCCAAACGTCGCCAGCCTCGGCACCTCCACAGCTTTTCCTCGGCCGTCTGACCTTATCTAGCCAAACAAAGGCCAAAAAATGAGCATTTGAGAGACCAACCAAATTTGGCAGGTATGAAGCTTCTCTTGAACCGAGAAAAAAAAAAAAAAAAAAAAAGAAAAATCGAATTGGGAGTTGAAAGCAGCGGGGAACATGACACTTGGTTGACTTTGCCGTGAGCTCTTTCCACCACCATAAACCCATGTGGCGGGCTTTGCAACTCTCTAACTGGTCTGGTTTTCTCATTCCTCTTATCTCTCTCCTTTTCCGTGTCCTTTTTTTGCATGACCTATAACCAAAAAGCTGACTTCTCTCTGTGCGTACATTTGGATGTATGGCTCTTCTGCTAATCTTCTTCTAGAGGCATGAGCTAACACCAGTGGTAGCTGCCTGACTTCTAGTCTGGTTGTTCTTAGATGTTCTTTGTTATGTTTTTTCCTTTTTATACTATTTTCTCTTCCTTTTTCACTTTTTTCCTCTCTGTGAGACACTTTCTGTTGAGCCGTCTTCCGAGAGAACTAAAACCAAAAAGTTCAAAAATTAAGAGCACAACAACAGAAAACACTAAACAAAATAACAAAACCAGTCAAAGGTCACGGCAAGGTCATTTCCAAAATTATGTCACCTTGATGTCTGCTTCCAACTCTAGATTAATTCAAGGATCTACCAGTCCTTGGTTAATGTAACCAGTTGTGTGCCGCACACATTCGAGAAAGTGGAAAAAACATTTTAGAAAAATTATTGAAAACATTTTAGAAAATCTGCATGAGCTACACCAACACATAAATCTGATCAAAGGGCAAAAATAATTCTCCATCCATGCATGGTGCATGATGATTTCTATGAGCTGGGATCCTGTAAATTAATGTTATGCAAAATCAAAACAGCTCTGTATTGTTAAATGCCCTTAAGTTACTAATTGTATGTCAAATGTAATAGGGATTGCATCTGTGTATGTATATGTTCAGCTATATGTATACATAAATTTATTATGTATATTGTAGATTTTCTTTTTTGTTGCTTTCCTCCTTAATTTAGTTGTTTTAGATTTCCCTACATGTTGAACATCCCTGGGTCGCTGGCTTTGGCCTGATGTGATCTTTCCTTTCTATTGCAGAACCGCATGCATGAATCTCTGAAGCTTTTTGACAGCATCTGCAACAACAAATGGTTCACAGATACTTCTATCATCCTGTTTCTAAACAAGAAGGACATATTTGAGGAGAAAATTAAGAAATCTCCACTGAGTATCTGCTTTCCTGAGTACACAGGTAATGAGAAATGTGGCTGTACAGGAGTGCTTAGCAAAGGGACCACAGAGCTCTCCCCAGCCAGGCTGACGCTGTAGTGTGTCACAGGCAATGAGGCTAAAGATGCAGAGCTAGAGCTCCCATTGGCTTCACTACAGGTTTTATTTCAGTAAGTGCCAAAGCATCACCCCCACCATGGCCCACTTAAAGGAGGAGGATGACTTGACCCAAGTTCTTTGCTGGCAAAGGGCCGCCACCACTGATTCGGGTGTGTGATCTACACCTCACTGGTGGGTTTGATGCCAAGCCATCACCTGCAGGTCTGGGGCCACTGTGCACTCCCCAAACCCATGTGCACTGGTTCCCTGTGTCACATAGGATCATGAACCTTCTTGCAGGTCTCTCATAAATGGGTGACAGGAGACCAACACACAGGGTTTGTTAGGTTGTCCTCAGCTGGAGTACAGCTTTGTTCTTTCATACCCAGCCATGCTCCCTTATGGCCACAACAAGAATCCCTCTGCAGTTCCTGGCCACTTTCTCCATTTCCACTGCAGGGCTGTAGAATCATCATGATCCTGGAAACATTTATGTCCAGGCTGGATGGGGCTCTCAGCAACCTGACCTGGTTGAAGATGTTCCTGCTCACTGCAGAGGGGTTAAATTAGATGACCTTTAAATATCCCTTCCAACCCAAACCATTCTGTGATTCCATGATCAGCCCTCCAGTATGCGCACAGCAGGTCTCACAGCTAGGCTGTTTCAGCTCAAGCAATACATTTTCATCACAGCAGTTGAAGACCCCCAGTTTTGCTCTCAGGTTTGCCGACATCAAGCATCTGGACATGAAAACACTTCCAATTAAATGCAGGTAGAAAACAAGGTGTTTCATATTTGATTTTCCCACACCTCTGAACCCATAGTACAGGCAGAGGAGAGCCACAGTGAGCTGTGCCCTGAGCTTGGCTGAGGAGAAGGAGGCCTTGGTGATCCGTGGAGTTGAGAGCAGGAGCTCTGGGATGGGCAGTGTGCGAGAAGCCCCCACCCCTGCTGCCTGCCTGGCATCTGACCCGCTAATGATGGGAACACATCACCCATGCAAAGGCTGCAGCTGCACCCCGCTGCTTCCCTCTGCATCTCGCCAGCTTCCACAAACCCTCATTACCATTCTGAGATGGCACAAAAATAAACTTTTATCGTCATGAATTATTTAAACTCACCGGAGACATCCAGATGAATCAAGCCGACAGACAGAGAAGCCAATCTGTTTGTCAGGAAACAGTTGTGAACCAGAAGCACCAGGAGTGTCACAGTTCTGGGCAGGCCAACAAATTATTAACCAGAGCTTCTTATCTCTGAGCATTTGATTTTTCACTGTGAATAGACAAAAGTGATCCCTCATTGCTGCTTTGGGCTGAATGGTCTGTGGCCATGGAGCTGAACAACTCCAGATGAATTCAGAACATCTGCAAGCTTCCTCTCCAGGGAAGATTTTGGTGTTTGTTACTACCAGCACATTTCAGCCATCTAGTCATCTGCTTGGTCCAGACAGAACCAACATATTCCCAACATATTTGTCTGAAAAGATCTAATCATGGAAATTTTAGTCTTTACAGCTGGGCTCACAATAATGCCTACCCCAAATTTTCCTGGCTGCAAATTAGATTGCTGCTTTTGGATGGCTTGTAGAGCATCTCATCACCATCTTCTTTATAGCAGTGCTTGTCTATACTGGATGGTTTCTGTCATGTCCCCTTCCCTTTTCTCAGTGAAGCAAACCCTCACCTCTCACTCCTTCCTGATCACATTTTGTGCAACTGATTTTGTAGATCTTCACTGGTGTCCCCCAGAAATCTCAATCTGAAATAACATTCTCACAGAACCCCTGATGTCAGAGATACAGAACAAGAAGGAATGTCATTTTATATATTCCTTCCCAAGTTCTCCCAGCCCAAGAGAGAAGTTCAGTGGGGGAGGCAGACATTCATACACATGGCTAAGCTCTTGGCTAATTAAACAGAGGAAAATAAAGCTTCTGTCTGGAGCACTTCAGCCACAAGTGAACCAAAACAATCTTCCCCAAGTCTCAGGGCACCCCAAAGGTGCTCTAAATTCCTTCAGGATGCTTTTGTGGAAGCTGGGAGTTCCCCACAATGCCAGAGACCCTCAATAGATCTCTTGTGTCTCTTGTGCCATCAGAGAGGGCAGGAAGTCTGACTGCTGAAAGTCGTTTTACTGATCCAAGAGGGATCTGAGGTTAGGAGTTACCTCACCCCCAGGTGTTCAGCAATGCTGTTATGAGTTAGCTGTGCTGACATTCAGCCCAGGCTTTAGACCCAAGCACACACTTCAGTCTGCTTGCCCCTGCTTTGCTGGCCACAGCCCATAGGATGAAACCCTCGTGGCCTCATGAAAAAGCAACATTATTAGAATGTTGCCCTGGAGTTAAAAAGAATTATTTGATAAAAGCCTATAAACTGAACAAGCAGACTTTCAACATCACAAGTAGGTTCTACAAAATGCTTTTAATGAAATGAAATTTCAGATGTCCATTAGTTGTGCTGACAGGGAATTATTAGAAGACTGCATCCACGAATTTGCCTGCTGTTTTCTGGAGCACTATTTCCATCCCCTTAATTCACTCATGCTTTTAACTAATCCACAATACTTAGTAAAGCAGCAGCAGAATCCACGGCTTGATTTAAACCAAGCTAGCATTAGTGATTCCCTGCTCTCCTAGACAGAATCAAGCATCTAAATCCTCATGTCTTTGAACAACCAGCTTCCTGTTCATCAAATAATCTCCTGGTTGTGCTCAGCATGTGGAACTGATTCTTTACACAGCTCTCCATGCAAGAATCTGCTCCCAGAGAAAACTTTGCTTCTCTTACTTCACACTTATTCTCAAGTTCCATGTTCTTCATGAATTTGTGCCTTCCATGAGCAGTGCATGTGTGTGCAAGTGGGATTTCCCAGAGCAGCTGCCTTCCACCACAGCACATCTCCAGCCCTAGTAAGCTTCTCCCTAGCAAATAACAGCATCTCACATCAGTAAAGCACCATGGAGAGAAAGGCACCCAAAAGCAGTAGCAGTTTTACTGCTGTGGAGCCTTTTGAGGGTCAGGCAGTGCCTGGCAGTGCTGGGAGCTGCACTCCAGGCCAGCCAGAGCCTTCATCAGCCTTAAGGAGGAGCCCAAAAGGAGCCGTGTGTGTGAGCAGGGTCAGAGCTGGCCAGAGGAGGAAGGATCTACTCATTTGCATGACTTCTTCTAAGCCTTTTTTAACACAAAATTTGAGGGTTAATCAGGTTTGGTACAGATATCTCTATATATCAAAAAAGAAACTCCTCACAGCGTGATTTTAGCCATGGCTGGAGCAGAGAGTACTGCAATCCTAATTCCTAAAAAAAGGGACATTTTGTATTAATCTTTTTGTTGGGATTTGGGTTTTTTTTTGAGAAAAGCCCATTTTGCCCTGTAACAGAGGTTAGATCTTTTCATGTCCCTTTCTCTTAATGGTTTAGGGAAAGGAGGGCACACCTACCAATACTGCCCTCAATTCATATTAACTCTTCCATCAAAAACTGAAGCTTTAATAAAAAAAAATCTGAAAAAGGAAAAAAGCTAAGCCTTTTCCCTAGGTCAAGCACTTACTGCATTTCTTCTCTTTTTTGTCACCATGATGTGGAATTTCTTCCATCATAGCCTGTTTAACACTCAGCTCCCTCATCTATTTCATCTCTATAAACAGCAACTCAGAATAAAAATACAGCTGAGCTGACAGTCAGGGAGCATCTCCTGCCTGGCAGCGATCCTGGCTGGTAACAGTGCCCATCCCTGAGATGGAGAGAGGGCACCTGGGCTGCAGCAGCCGCGCGGGAGCTCCCCACATCCCCACAGGGGGTGTTTGCAGGCACCCTGCAGACTGCAGGCGATGGGGTTGCTTTAACCCGCTCTTTCTCCTTTCCCTGGCTCTCCTGCAGGCCCCAACGCTTTCACGGAGGCGGTGGCGTACATCCAGACTCAGTACGAGAGCAAGAACAAGTCGGCCAACAAGGAGATCTACACTCACATCACCTGCGCCACCGACACCAACAACATCCAGTTCGTGTTCGACGCGGTCACGGATGTCATCATCGCCAACAACCTGCGGGGATGTGGACTCTACTGAAGGCTGCTCCTCCCTCCTCTCCTGGCACCGCCCGAGCATCCTCCGCTCCCGCGGACAGGTCCTCCCTTTCCTTGCTTTTTCCTCCTCAGAAGATGACAAGGAAGAAATACATAATTCCCTCCTCCTGTCCCAGAAAACTCTGCAGCAAGTTCTGCTTTCCCCAGACCCGTTTTATTTTATTTTGGTTCATTTTTGGTTCATTCCCTTGCTGCCCCGTTCTACTCCTCCGTTCCAATTCACAGTGTTGTGCAGGGAGCTAACGCATTTCCCACGAAGTGCATTTCAACTGCCAAAAGACAAAAATACTTCAGTTTTAAAGAGAGGAAAAAAAGCCTTAAAATACTGGTCAGGAACAGTGTAGTTTGGAACCAAAACTTTTATTTTGCCTTGAAAATTAAGGGATATTGTTCATTCTCCTGGTTATTTGCCTTTTTTAAAAAACGCTGTTCCTTTGGGAAGTGCTAAATACAACCTGATCATTTTGAGGGTACCTTACAGCTCCAGTTCTGACCCCAAAGCTGGAGGGTTTGGTGTTGAATGCAGCCACCATAGCTCGGATTTGTACATTCTCCTTTTTTCCAGACAGCTATTTGAGCAAGTAAAACAGCCATATCGAGTTCTGCTGGTGTCTGAGTAACAGGGACACAGTAACCAAGCCTACTAAGCCTTGTCTAAAAGCATTCATTACTGGTAGCAGTTTTACCTCAAGTTTTTCAAAATTAATGATAAAATGTATCTAGTGGTTGCTGTAACCCATTTCTGAGGCACTTCCATGGGGGCCATGGAGGCACTGGGCTGGGACCCCTGGAGTGTAGGCAGTGAAGATGCCCCGGGGATGGTGTCCTGATGGAAGCTCCACACTCAGTGGCATCCTGACAAGGAATCCAGCCTGGGGACCTTTCCCACAGCACCTCCCAGCAGAGGTGATGCTCCTGCAAACACACAGCATCACTTTCCAAACTTCAGCCTTGAAATGCTGGGGAGCACAAAAAATATTTAACCCTGGCTTCTTGTAGGCAGAGTCCGACTATCAAGTGCCTGAGAAGGGGAAAGGTGCTTTGGGAAACCTCCCTGTGCTTGGGCAGCAGCAATGTGTGCAAGAACCTCGTGGCCCTTCATTGCCCCCTAGGCATCTAAACCCCTTGAGAAGCCCAACCTTGTGCTCTGAGCCTCCTTGGCTGAGCAGAAGCCAGTGGCTTTCCTGTGTCACCTCCTGCCTGAGCATCCCAGAGACAGCTCCAGGGTTGGTGTCTCCAGTCAGGGCATCTCTTCACCAGTATTGAGATGGATGGTTAACAGTGGCAGAGGAGAGCTCAGGAAGCTGATTTGAGTCAAGTGATGGAGTAGGAAGGAAAAGTGCAAGGGAAGGAAGAAGGAAGGGCAGGAGAGAGGAGTGAGAAGGACAAGGGTAGCACCCAGCACAGCAAAACTGGGGGCTCAGAGAGGACAAAGGCAGGAGAGCTGAGGTATGTGTGTCCACCACCAAGAACTCTGGGTGCTGCTGAGTCAAAGGCAGAAGGGAATGTGAGAGGTGGGACACGGAGGGACTCTTAGAGGTCCACCCCAAAAGCTTGTTAGTGTCTGGGAGAGACAACCACCTCTGAGGTCCCACTCAGAGCCCACCTCACCTGGGGGCAGGTGGGCAGTGTTGATCCCTGCCTCTTCTCTGCCTCTCTTAGGAGTCAATTATCTTGAAAAACGTGAATCTTTGCAGGCTGGCCAGAAGTTCAGCTGTTCTCTCTCGGGAGCCTCATCTAGGCGTGGCTTTCAGGTCTCAGGAGGTCTCTTCAGGGCTGTGGTTGAGAGGGACAATATCTCTTCTCACTGTGCCCATTTAGGAGAGGGTGTGAGAGCAGCCCAGAGCAGCACAGCCCCAAGAGGAGGGGCCAGGTGAGTGTCAGTGTTCAGGAGGCAGTGACAGGAACACATATGGTGGCACAGGAGGGAGAGGACAGTGGGAGAGGCTTAGGGAACATTTTGGGAGAGAAGCTGCAGAAGGGAGACGAGACAGACTGAGACAGCAGGAAGGATGGGAAGAGAAGGGCACCTGGGAGCCAGAGGAGAGTCCCCATCAGGGGCTGTGCTCTGCCAGGACAGTATTTGTGGGACATTTGTGACAAATGCCCAGGCAGGGATGTGAGCACCCTGAGGCCTGCAGAGGAAAAGGAGGTGTCTGTCACCCCATCCAACCAGCTACAGCCCAGCATGGCTGGTAACTGTCAGTAACCCCTAGAGAGCATTAAATGATGCATTTACTATTGTGCAGCAAGGATCTGCTGCTGCTCTGCTGGGCACTAACAGCAATAACACAACTCCCTGCCTCCCCTGCTCTGGCACAAGCCAGCACCCACCTTTCTCTTCACCATCTCAGCCTTAAAATGCCTCCAATGACATCGGCTCCTGCAAAGAGCTGGCCAAAACCAGGAGTTCCTCTCTGCTCCTTGTGCCACAGCCCACCCACACATCTGGCTGAGCCCCAGCAGCAACACCCAGCATCCACGTGGGTGTTGTACAAAGGCCAGGGCAAGAAAAACCACACAGTGGTTACATTTGGTACCTAAAATGTGTAACCACTGGACCAGAGTGATGCTGGCAGGGACGCAGGTCTTTTATTAAGTTCTGTAAGAACAGTTTGATCAGAAGCACTGGAGTTTTTGAGATTTTCTGTTCCCACCCCTTGCTGTGAATGATGTTTTATCCAAGCAAATAAGTAACAGAAGCTGTTCCCAGGGAAGGCAGCACCACACCAAGGCTTTGTAAGCTCCCAGCATAAAGCACACAGGAATATTTTGGTAAAGACAATTTAAATTAACTCCAAACTCTGTCAAATACAGTCAAGTGGCCAGTGCTGGCTCAGTGTGCTTTTACTGCTCCCCAGGCTGGATTCAGGTAACCCATTCCCAGCTTTGCCAGCTGGGAGGTCCAAGCCCCCTCTGCAACTCCAGCAGGTCCCTGGCACATTGATGACCATCAACAGCTGGTGCCCCATGGGGAGAAAAGGGAGAAAAAGCAGAGGAAATGTCGCCACAAAGAGCCTCTTCTTTCATTTTCTTTGGCATATTGTGTGTCTAAAGCTTCATCTCAGCTGCTGCTGCTGACATTCCCTCCCTCACACGAGTGTCATGAGGATTCACTGACAAATGCTGGAAGCAGCCTTTGGAAGATTAAATGCTTCCAGTGTTAAACACTACTATTTCTCCTGCTTGATGGCCATGTATAGATTTGTGTCTCTAGAACTCCTGCCAAATCATTACTCATTGCTGGCTTCTGCACCCTCCGAAGCCCTTCCTGACAGATGTGCCTTCTGCAGGCAATCTTTTGCCCCATGCTTTTTCTAAACACCAGCAATTCTTGCAGCAGTTGCCTAAAAAGTACCTTGAAATACATTGCCTGCTTTCAAAAGGCTTTTCTTAACAGCCCCTTGTGCTTTGCAATTGCTGCGCTCTGAATCCAGACCCTTGGAGATCCAGAGCTGTGTTTCATTTGCAGTCTCCACAAAGCAGGGATGTTGCAACTGGTACAGCTGCATCAGAAATCCTACCAGGGCATGGAGGACAGATTTTAAAAGCACAGAATAGAAACAGCTATGTATACACCCTGCTGCCCTTCAAAGCTAATGTGGGAATTTGCAAAAAAAAAAAAAAAAAAAAGCCTTTTTTTGGGATGCAGAAGGTTTTTAGTGACTCAGGTCACTGTTCCAGCAGCAGAAGCATCCAAGGAGTGTCAGCACTGAAAGTAGCATTAGCAACTCATGATGAGCTTCAGACAGCAGCAAAAAGAAAGAAGGAAGCTCCCTGTTGGCTTGGCTTGCTTCATAGTCAGTGAGAGGGTCGGTTGTGGAGCCATGAGACCACAAAAATGCAAATAGCTTCTTTATTTAAACAACAATTTCAATGAAATAGAGAAACCCACACAAGAAATTCTTGCAGCAGTGCCGGGCCGAGCTGCAGAGCTCCTTGGGAGGATGCAGTAGCTGGGCTGGCTGGGAGAACGAGCAATAACCATGCACTGCGAAAGCACACACTAAAATCCAGCACCAGGCTGCCAGAGGCAGTTTCCAATCCTGCACACAGAAGTGGCACACGGGCTGGCTCTCGCAGGGCCCGCGGAGCGCCGGCAGCGGGAGGCTCGGCGCGGCCATCTGCCCCTGCGAGAGCAGTGCCCGTGCTGCCTGCCCACACTGCCAGCTACAGCTCTCAGGAGTTCTGTACTGGAATTAGCTTCTTGCCTTCAGGCAGCTTTCCTGGATGGCCGGCCAGCCTGTCCCTCCGTGGAGGGGAGAGCTGCTCAGGAGGAGCCTGCCGTGCCTCCTCTACCCATGTGATTTTGTTTCACAGGACACCAAAAGTATTAATGAGGGCGGTCTTTAATCTACATTGAAACATATCTGGTGGGTTTAATCTATCATGGCATGAGCCCAGTGCTTGCCTGCAAGGGAACAGACCTTGTTCTCAGTCCAGGAGTGCAGTCTCCAAGAGCTCAGGATGTGACATAGAAGATGTCCTTTTGCCAGAAATGCCCATGTGCCCAGCCTCACTGTGCAGCTCAGCAAGGCAGACATCACCCCTGGGGGATTTGCAGTCAGTGCTGGGAAGGGGACCAACCCTGCACTGTTAGCTTGTGTGACATGTCCCAAGCCTTTTGTGGTCACAAAGTCTCCTGGAGCCAGGGAGAGTTGCTGAGTTCCTGGAAGAAGGCTGACCATCTGTCAAGTCAATTAGAGAAGCTTAGTTCCACTGTGCTTGGGTGTTTTCATGGTTTGTCTTCAGGCTTACCACCAAAAACTCCACAACCATTTCCAAGGAGACTAAAACACTTCTTGGTGATCTGACACTGGACATGTCAAGGTCAGTAGGAATGGTGTTACTGAGCATCACCCTGGGCACCCAGACCCATCACTCACTTGCATCCCCAGTGCACACACGAGAAAGCAGAGACGTGGTCCAAGTGGCACAAAATTGCAGACCACAGTCCTGCCTCCACCTCCCTGCAGGAGAGAGCAGGCAAACAGACCCCGAGGCTCCCTGGGACGAGGGTACTGTGTCATTTCTGAGCTCCAGCACTGACACGAGGTGACTGATGCTGACAGATATAGGTACGTGACCTACATAGTTATACTGAGAATGTGGCTATGGGACAGGACTTTGCACAGGACCACTCATGCCCCAACAAGCAGCCTGTGAGATCTTTATTTGTGTGCAAACACAAGCAAGGGCAGCCCTTAAACACCGATGCCTTAGTGAGAGGAGGACCAAAGCCTCCCGTGGCACCCTGCAGGCAGAGGGAAAGGGAGCTGGATTCAAGAAACAGCCCCATCTTCCCAGGAGGGCAGCTCTGTTCATGGACACTGAGTGCAGTAGGCACAGGGAGGAGAGACCAGGAGAAGAGGTAGAGGGGCTGGGAGCTGGCAG